TATTGATGGAACAGTAACCCACTTAACAGAACGAGAGAAGCGCATTAGTGCATTTCAGAATGACAAAGACTACTCTGTCTTCTTGCTCACCACGCAAGTCGGCGGCGTTGGTATAACCTTAACCGCAGCTAGCCGAGTGGTGATCTTTGATCCCAGCTGGAATCCAGCTACAGATGCCCAGGCTGTGGACAGAGCTTATAGGATTGGGCAGAAAGAGAATGTAGTAATTTATAGACTGATTACCTGTGGCACCGTGGAAGAGAAAATATATAGGCGACAAGTATTCAAGGACTCATTAATAAGACAGACTACTGGTGACAAAAAGAACCCATTTAGATATTTTTCCAAGCAAGAACTAAGGGAGCTTTTCACATTAGAAGATACTCGAACATCTGCAACTCAGATCCAGCTGCAGTCTCTGCATGCCACTCAACGAAAGACTGATGTACAGCTGGATGAACATATTGCTTATCTGCACTCTCTGGAAATGTTTGGCATTTCTGATCATGACTTAATATATACAAGGGAAATAACTCATGAGGAGCGGGCTGAGAATGAAGAAGCCCATCAGTACATTCAACAGAGGGTGCAGAAAGCCCACGAGCTAGTTCAGTTAGAGTCTCAGCTTAGAGACCAGAGGATGGAGAGAATCAGAAATGCTTCTGAGGGGACATGGCCAAGAGCACCGGAACTGGCTTCCCAGCCAAAGAAGAAGTCTCCAGGATTGAACAACATCAATCACTTTGTTTCACCACCAGTAGTTGTTAAACTTGAAAATGAGGAAGCTATAGATCTTACAGAGGATGAGGAAGTCCAGATTGTTAATGTCAGCTCTAAAATGACAAGTCTGACTATTGATGATGTAGGTGAAGAGAAACTGGCACAAGATGTGTCCAGTATGGATACTAGCAGTGAGAAAGTGAAACAATCCAATATACAAGAATCTGAGCAAAACGCTGAATCAAGCATTATGCCATCACCCCCTGGACTTCATCCACTTGACAAGGACAGTCCAAGTCTTGAACAGAAACAGTGTTCTCTTACTTCTCATATAAAATCAAATAGCTTGACTGATGGAAGGAATGGTCTTTCTGAACAATCTTGGCGCTCCTGTAATGAATCTGGCATGGCTGACGATCCTAAAACTACCGAACTGTCAAATCGGGTACTTGAACCACTTACTGCCTTGGGGTCAGATGAGAATGACGTTCCTGAGCTACCTTTGGCTGCCACACTGCCAAGATTATCAAACGTTATGCTGGAAGTCCATGCTAGGATCCAGAACTCTCCTGTGTTGGAAGCCAGTTTGGAGGCTATGTCTGTGTCATCTCTCCAAGATCAAGTGGACTTCAATCTTGTCTTGGAAGAGTCTGAAGATGGATGGCAAGATATCTCAAATGGGGAAAAATCACAGGAGAATCCAGAAAAGGCAGAGTTTCAACTAAAAGCAGAAAGCGATTGTAAGTCTCCAGTGAAAAGTTGGGTATGTGAGAATGGTAACTTTGGAAACTCCTATCACACAGTTGAAGATCTGAATAACTCCCTGCAAGGGAATGAAACATCAGAGGAAAGCAGTAGTGTCTTTGCTTCTCGTAGAAGGAGGTGCATACAAAGAATTGCCTCAGACAGTGAGGATGAAGACCATTCCATTGTGCTCTTGAAAGAAAACAAATCTGATAAAAGGTCATCTCCCTTGAACAGCCCTCTGCATCAATTTTTGGAAGGAATCAGTGCATCCACTCCTAAATGTGACAGAAGTATAGCCAAAGCCATCTTTTCTCCTCAGGTAACTAATAGTGGGAACAGGTCTACAGCTTCCAGGAGATCTCTAATCAACATGGTGGTGGACCAGGTTGAGGATATTGGAGAAATCATGGGAAACACCGATGACGAAGGAACCACTGATGATGAAGACAACACTGAGGAGCAAGGGGGCCTTGTAGAAGAAGAAGCTGAAGAGTGCAGTGGTGAGTCGTCTGAGCCTGAAGAAGAACCTGCTGGAGAAACGCTTGATGAAGTTGGAGAATCTTTCCATCTAGACTGTACGCAGTCTGAAGCAGATGAGACAGAGTCATCCCAGGAGGAATCCACTGGTGATGCTGAACTGCAGTCTGGTGAGCAGATAGACTATTTCACCCAGGAAAGTGTCTCCCAGAAAGAGATTGGTGAGAGTTCCTCTCCTGCCTTAGATAATTACAATACCTTAATAGACTGTGGGAAGAAACTGAAGGATGATGGAAAACTACAGGCGGCATTGAACTGTTTTCTGCAAGCTCTTGACATAAAAAATGGTGATCCTGAAGTAATGCTTATGACCTTAAACTTGTATAGACAGCTTGCCCAGAAATGAAACATGCCTTTAGAGTCTCACTTTTGTCATAAAATGTTGGTCTAAACTATATCACTCTGGTTTAAACTAGCTTGGGACTGGTGGCTGCCTTAAGAATTTCCTTTTTTTGTGTTATGGAACTTGTAGTCATGGTGACTGAACAAGTTCAGCATCTCTTCCTCTGTGAGGAAGCACTTGGAGAATCAAATAGTTTGTCATTAGCTTTTAGGTGCTGGGAAAGGGACTTTGTATTCAGTTCACTAAGATAAACACTTCCTAGTCCTCTTTGTTTGCTTAATAAAAAGTTTCCTCTATGCCTAAATCCCTTTCCTCCAAGTTGCAGCTTTGGCTTCATGTTTCTGCCTTTCAGATTCTGTTACTGTGTCCTAGTTCTCCTGAAATGAATCTTCAGGTGTGGTTCCACAGCAGCTTAATGCAGTCTGAATTTAGGCTGCTGTAATTCTTCCTACTACTGCAGCTTGGATTTAAGTTGGCCTAAGAACACGCTTTCATAGCAGCTTGTTTAGGCACATAACATACTTGCTGTAAAAAGTCTGCTGCTATAAATCCTCCAAGTAATGGAGGCCAGCATACCATCTGCCTCATGCCAGGTCTAATGCTAAATGTGGCATTGCGGAAACCTTCTGCTCAAATCCTTGCTAGACTGTGGTTGCTGTAGATGGGTTACATAGTTGGGGGAGGTTGCAGAATGACTGGAACAGCAATTGGGCCTTGACCGATGTAAGGTACTGAACACCTTGAACCTTCTTGTATTGTTGTATTCAAGCAGAGGACTTGAAAGGAATCTAGCATCTGACCTTGTAGCCCCCTCTCCTTTTATTTTATTCTTTGTTTCCATCTGAGGAGTACAGTTGAAGCCTGTTCTTGCCTGGAAGTGGCAAAGGCGGGGCAGGGAAATATTGGTTTTACAGTTTTGGGCTGCTTTTCCTCTGGCAAGGAAGTTCTCAAACTTTGCTCCCAAATGCAGTCTAGCTGTGGTAGATAAATATTGTCCCAGGTACTGCAGACTCAATAGAACTATGAAGCTTGCATAGTCCTGAACTAGCAACCCACTTAAAATAGGAAGAACCTTGTTCTGGCTCTTAGCAGTGCTCAACATGGCGAAGAATTTTAATGCCTCCTCGTGCCACACATTTGGCATGAAGCAAGTTTGCCTTCTATATGATAGCAGGGGGCTCTCACACCTTCCTGACTTTTTTCAAATTCTGTGGAAGAAACTGGTCTGTTGCATTTGAATCTTCCGTACTAGAAGACATTCCAAATACAAATGGTGAACCTGTCAGAACAGGAGAACATGGGGAGATGTACTGATATGTTTTTGCTAATAGGTAGAACAAAGCCTTTGCAGCCTGCAAACAAGTAGTTTATTAATAGAGCCTCCCTTAAATGAGGCCACATCTGCTCTCATGCTACAGAAAGGCCTGTCTGCCTTTCGTAGCAAAATAGTAACGAACAGAGCTTTGCAAACAGTGATGGGCCTCTGGGAGCAGGCAAATGTGCAGTGCTTTAAACAAAACAAACACCCCAAAAAGAGGGGGAGGAGAAAGACCTGCCCTGGTTTCAATCTTACTACTTCATGTTTAATCAAGGCTTTTTGTTCTATTTAATGTTTTGTCCCTGTCTCTGAGTCCTTATCTCCTATACAGCAGGATGTTCATCTGCAAACAAAGCTGATGTATGTCTGTAGATATGTCTGGCTTGAGAACTAGCTTTCGGCAGAAAAAGGATCAGTGCACTGAAATACCTCCTGCCTCTTGGATTTTAGCAATAGATGTAATAGGTTGTCTCATTCATGTTGGTCATGCTATCATTTTTGCCAGCTTTGACAGAAGAAAGAGTCTAAGCCTAGCAGGCTGTGCTACATACTGTATGCCTTACAGTAGGGAGGTACAGGAGGCAACAAGCAAGCAATTAGCATTTTTTTTTTCCCCCTCTAGCTTTCCTCTCACTCAACCCTAAGTTAGTTTCTTGCCCAAGTTATGAATGGATAAGATGTAGCTTTAGATTCAGGTTATGTATGCAGTAATAGACATGCTGCCTATTCTTCTACCTCCTCCCGCTTCCCCATCCACCCTCTCCTCCCCAGTTATGATCATAGTCATGGTGCCTCCAGCCTTGGGTTATTTATCCCACACCTCTACTTAGTAACTGATACCCAGTGCCACGTCTGCCCAAGGCAGTGACCCAGTAGTTCTAGCTGTAGTATTATCTTGGAAAGACTCCCTTTGGTCAAGTTTGGATAAGTCTGGAGTTACCTCCAGAGCTCTGGAACAGAAAGGGTAATGTAAGAGCTGATCTCATTCCCACTAGTGAGGATGAGATAAAGACAAATGCTCTAGGGAGTTCCTATTTCTCTCGCCAGAAGACATCGGTTTGCACATAAAACCTGAGTTTCTTATTCACACCTTAGCAACAGGAACAGCAGGAGCTACACAGCAAGACAAAGATTTCAACTGCTGAAAACTATTGCCTGACCTTTTCAAGGTGTGCTTTACCTCTCTGCATGGCCTTGTTCTCTGCTGGCTCTAATCTGTGCCTCCTGCCAAAATAGCAGAGAAGATGAGCTGTCTTGAAACGTGCTGCTGCTTATGACCGTTCTGCTGCAAGGTCAAGGCGTCTGGGAAGCTCTCAGAATTCAAGCAGTCAACAGTTTAATGGTCATTCATATTTTATTTCCTGCCTTCCACCATGATAATGTGGTACCCAAACTTTGTTTTGACAGGAGGGTCTGTATACACTGGTTTGTCCATGCTGCTCACAGGCAAGGCAAATGCTGCATCCTGGAAAGGTCCCACCATAGAGCCTCTGGTCATCCAGCCCAAGTCTCCCTGGGAGAAGAAATCAACAGGGTTAAGCTTTGAGAATCTCACTGCAAAAGGTGTCTCAGCAGCAGGAAGGGTGGATGATGTGTTCGTGAGACAGGAGACCTTTCCAGGCAGTGTTTAGAAGTCTCTGTCTCTGCAGTGTGTACCGCTTCATAAATGGGAGGGCAACACAGGCATAAACTCTCATGGGTGCCTCTCCGCAGCTGGTGGCTGGCTAGAACCAGGGCAGGCCAGCACCCTGCCCTTAAAGAGTGCTAGGGTTTGTATGCTTCAGCTGTGCCTTTCTGCTCTCTTGTCTTTGCCTGTATGAAGGAAACGGTTTTTGTTTTTGCTTCTACTGTTCTCCATTCAAACAAATTCCTCACCCTACACACAATGTACCTCCTTTGCCATCCCAAAGCAGAACTCAATCCTGTATGCCCAGAGCCTATTGATGGTGCCCCAGACCTAGCCTGACTAAGAAATGGAGGGCTGGGCACTGGGCCTTGAAGCAAGTGCTGAGAGCAGGGCAGCCTCAGGACTTGAGAGCTGTTTCCATCAATAACTGGACTGGCAGGAGCTGCCAAGAAGCAGATGCAAAGCCATGCCATAGGATAACTGTCCTTACAGAAACGTTTAGTGATTACTTACCTGCATGTGAGTCCCTGTCCCCAGCTCTACTGGCACATAAGTATTTACTGCTTGAGCTAATGCTAACTGCTTGTGCCTTTGCCTAGCAGTCAATGCTGCCCCTGGCATTTGTTTGCACACCGCCATGGATGCCTCAGGGACAGGGGGATGCTGTGCCTGAAGGTACTGAAACAAACTTTCTGAAGGCGCCTAGGAATACCAGGCTCCTTCAGGTCTGCAATACTGAAATACCAGTGACAGGCAATGAGACCAAGTTCCCCCAAAAGCCACTTCCGTGTCTATCATGGCTCGTCAGAGTACTGTGCTACCCTCCCCCGAGAAATGTCTAAAGGGCTGCCAGGCTGCAGCAGCACGTACCCCTTGTCTGGCTTTATCCTCGCTGTACTGTGCAGCTACTTCGCTGAAGCGCACTCCGGACTTCAGCTTTTCCATGGCCTCCATGGCTTTGCCGTGCTTTTCGCACAGGATGTGTCGAACCTGGAGGACAAAAGTAAAGCCTAAATCGGGGCCAGGCTCCCCGCAGGGCAGGCATAGCCGTGGCCGGCTCTTGCGGGCCGTCCCAGCGGCGCAAGCCCGAGCC